ATGCGATCAGCCAATCGCTGCAGTCGACAGCATGATCACGTGATTACCAGGGATGCGTCTCTCGGTTAAAGCATTGCAAAGCGGTAACTAATAAAGAATGAATAAAAAGCCATTAATCAAACTCCTGTCATATACGCTTATAAACTTCAACTGAACTCACAAGTCGTTAATCTAAACAAAAGTCATACGGCGTGGAAACAGAATGCAAAGACAAATCTATCATAACACATTACTTCTCTGGCAATAAAGACGGGAAAGACTAAAACGATAGAAACTACTGAATTACATATAAACCTGTCAATCATGAAAAAACTTGAGATATCAAACAATACGTATATAAGCGCACCAAACTCTCATCTCAAAAAGACATTAATAAACGTTACAAAGGCGCTCTCAACTCAAAAAAGCGTCAGAAGTATTCCGGAAACAACACGTAAACAAAAACAACTCTTAAAACGTCGATATCTCTGTACTCGACAAATCTCAAAACTCTGAAAAACTCATTGGGGCATTACTCTCCCCATCATAATCCGTACTCATAAACTCATTAAAACACCATAAAACATCACACAACTCAAAACACTGTGTTGCAAATACTTGTCCACTGAAACGCGCTTAAATCGTTATAAAGGACCTCGAACGTCACCAAATATCAGTTCAAAACAAAGATCTGGGCGCTTACATAACATACAATTCGACATCACTAAAAGAAACGGTAAAAACGATAGGAAAAGCAAGCAATACATTACATTACTGAGCAATAGGGTTAGGATTCTGGAAAAGAGTTCAACGTCCTTGAGTTACAGTGTCCGTTACAGTGTCCAACGAGCGGTTCTCTAAGCAATACACAGATAGCTAAAGTCAAAGTCTATAAGCGTCTCTTCTCTTGTCGCGTTAGTCCGGGTCGTTCTTTATCATCATCTTGTCTTTAATGTCGCTCAATTCTTAATTATACAGTCCTATCCGGTATCCGTCCTTCATAAGGGGTTCAGAAGTCTTCATCTCTTCAGCGTCGTTCATCGGTGCCATACTGTTAACGGTGTTAGTCGTCGAGCGCGGTTTCGTCTCTGCCATCGAGCCAGTTAGTTCGGTTCACAAGAAAGACACATCTTCGCCAATTCACTTTTCTTCACAGGATGTCAATGTGTGTTAAACACCTGCCCGGGTTCTCCACCACGTATCAGGGGGAAATTCTCTCTCTCTGGGGGTTCTCCACACTGTCAGGGGGGAACTCGTCTCGTCTCTCTATCTCGTCCCCTTGAGGTACGGGATCGGGAAAGTCACTTTAACTTTACAGTCAAATAAGACACACACAACGAAATACGTTTCAACTCTCGTCTTAGTCGATCTTTTGGAGCACTCTATAAGACACAGCGCCCTGGGGAAAAGTCCCCAAGACTATATCGCAAGGCTGACCCAAGACTAGCCCAAGACTGGACTGCCTCAAGGCTCGCCCCTGGACTCTCTCGGACCCAGACTCGACTCGACTCGACTGCCCAAGGCTGCGTCTGTCGTGGAGTATTCGCCAAGACCAACTCAAACTCTCTTTATTCATTTTCAAAACTCTAACCAATTACAATGCAGTAAAAAGACTCTAGGGCGTAACCTTCAATCATAAAGCCAATCACACTAAGTACTGAATACGTCATATCTTTTGGTTAATCGTTCACTACATTAATAACTACGGATGTCAGAATAGCGACGGTATCTTGTAATTAGTTCCAAATCACTGAGCCAAGTTCCGTCCAAAACTTCAAATAGACCTAAACGATGACAGACATAACACAGCAATTCGCTAATAATCAGCTAATTAAGTCGGTCAACAGATACGCGAAAACAAATTCATGACAGTTCCAACAAGAATTATTGGAAGATTCGAGAATATGATGCAATTGCCAAAACGGAAGGCAAACCCCAATTACCTAGACTACAAAAACAAACCAGGGACTGTGAAAAAACGAACGAAAATGATTTGTCTTGACCAGAAAAATAATAAATCATATAGACAATTTCAACCGTCGTTGGCGTTTTAAAACAATTCTGGATTGGCACACCAACTCGACTCCGTCGAAAATGCGATCAAACTGAGACTTGGCTTGGTTCCAACGAGGATCCTTTGTTTGGGTAGTCACGTGACGCGTTAACAAACACGATGAAAACCGATATTGCACACAGGGGCGTTTCTTTTGATTTTCTAGGGAAATCATATTTGAACGATCAACTGCGTGAAGAGAATGTTTGTG